TAATACAAAGGTATATGTGAGTATGGAACAAAGAGTAGGAGATGGAGATTTTTATACAGGTTTAGACCACTAATATGGAGTAATAGTACTACTCAATGACGATATATCACCCCGATGGGAAGCAAGCGAGCTATCTAATCTAACCTACCAAACTAATCTCTATGGAATATGCGGCGCAAAATAGTTGGTGACTAGCTATAGGCTCCTTCTTTGGCGCAGGTTCGATGTGAACACGATTAGATCCCATCCCATTATGCGAGGTCTTGTATCTATACTAGAATATGACCCCTATTCAAGTAGAACTTAACGGATCTCAAATAGGAAATGGGCAGGCAATGCCTTGTCGTTCCCCAAGTCGAACTAGATAGTCCTTATTGGGGGCGTGATTCATTCTTTTCCTTGTATATTTAGCCATATTTGAATATATCTTATGTATAGTATTGGATATATGGTATTCCTGACGATGGTAAGCGCATGTATGCGGGGTATACCATATCTACTACACTGACAATTCGACGGATCAATAATATTTATTGGGAAAATTGTCACGCCCTAAAAATCGACTAAATTAAAAATGCATATTTTAAATCATTTTTAGAAATTATTTTAAAAGCCTACAAGCTAAACCCTAATTATCTAGGAAAATTTTCAACATAAAAATGAGCTAGATAAAATTTTATTAAATACTATGCTTGCTCTTCTATTTTCTAGAATTTTCTGGGAATTATTTGAGCAAGGGAAGTATTTTTAATAATTGAAACAACATTTCACAAATTGTTTTATTTAAAAAGTTCAAAAAACCCCTCCCTAAGCCGTTGGACCGAATTCGGCCCAACTCTCTTCTTTCCCGCGCGTGGCCGAACCGGCCCAAGCCGGCCCAGCCGAGCCGCCCGCCCCCTCCTCCTCCAGCCGCCGACATGTGGGGCCCACATGTCGGACCTCTCTTCAACCTCCGGCCGGCTGCCATGCCGAGCCCGACCGAGCCGCCTTCCGCCTCCAAATCCACCCCAATCCGGTCTCCTTGTGTCCGATTGATTGAGGGGTTTTGATCCACTCGTTTTCCTCTATCTTTCCCCTCAAGAATCGGAGCAAATCGTTGGGTATTTTATCCGAATCAAACTCGTTTTCGAGTTTATCTCCAAAACCGAGTTTTTGTTTTCCCGAAGCGATTTCTTGCGGAAGGAGTCCGATCTCTTCAATCCAAGGCTATAAATAGGACCACCTCGTCGTCCTCTTTCGTTTGCCCCCTTTCCCGAGCTCTCTAGTGCGCCGTAGAGTCGCTGCCTCGCCGCTTAGTCCGCTTGCCGCCGCCGGCCGACGCCAGCCGCGCCGCCGCGCCGCTCCTGCCGTCGCCGCCGCTTGCCGCCGCCGCCAAGAGGTGCGCCGAGGAGTGAGGAAGCCCGGCCGCCCGTCCCCCTTCGCCGCCGGCCGCCGTAGCTCGCCGTCGTCGGTCGAGCCGAGCCGCCGCCGCCGCCCCCTTCGTCGCCGGCCGTCGTCCGACGTCGGTTGTCGTCGTGGTGAGTACCGTTGGGTTCGTCTCGTCGTCCTCTACGTGTAGATGCCCTCCAAATCCGCGGCCGACCATCCTAGCTCCGGCGAGGTCGCCAACCCTAGCCAGCCCTCGTGGATGATGTCAGCATGACGTCATCAGTTTTCCTTTTTCCCGATTTTCTAAAAGATTAAATCTTCGGAAAATCATAATTAAATAACCGTAGATCCGTTTCAGGTGGTTCAAGTTGCTAAATTTTTCTAAAATCAAGATCTACATGTTAAAAATATCCACATATACTGTTTATGCTTGTTTTTGTACTGTTTTGTTGATTTTTGTTTAATTGCTTTAGTTTCCGACGTTCCGGAGGAGAGCGTTTCCTTTGAGGAAGGTTCCGAAGCGTTTGCGGAAGCCCAAGGCAAGTCACACAGATCCCAAACAACCCTTTGAGCATGTTGAACCCGTTTAAAGCTATTATTTTATTTCAACTATGCATTATTTTCGAATGTCATCGGGTGGTGAACCTTTCCCAATTGATTAATGGCCGAAGATGATCTTATTTTCCTATGGGTTAAAATTTGATTAGCATGAACCTTATATATTGGATTGGTTCAGCTAAATGCTATATGTAAGTTTGCTTAGCTATGCTTAGAAACATTAGCTAACTAAAGGGGTTAATTATAAACTATGTTATTATTATTAATGATGGTTATAATAAATGGTAGCTCACGATGGTGAATCGTGTGATGTTAATTAATTGATAATTAAAACCTGGTTAAGGTGGGTTGTGGCATATGGTTTTGATGGTTGTGCTCATGACAATTAAGGACCGGTTCGCGAGCTACTGTTGTGAAACATTTATCGTGCCAACCACAAGCCAGCGTGGGCAACGGCTTTATCTTTTGTATAGCGTGATTCATTATAGTGCGCCGGACTGAGAAGTGGCGAGAAGTCCACGGGGGTCGCTGGGGAGTCCATGCCTTGTTTATAAGGGGGTGATTATGATCCAGGAAAGGTGCGCTGTAATGGGTTATGTTGTGCAAGAGGTATTGTCACAACTCCTTTCCGAGGTACCGTGGTGGTATTGAGGCACATGGTGACATGATGTGGGGTTGTGTCTTGTGGGTATAGTGGTACACCTCTGATCAGAGTTTAAACTATTCGAATAGCCGTACCCGCGGTTATGGGTGAGTTGAGCAATGTTTTTCGTGATTAGTCTCACACTATTCATCAATGTTAAAAATGTGATAATTAATTTGACTCCTGGTTTGGAATGGTTAATTCCTGGTTTGGAGGTTTAATTTGTTCAACCGGGGTTGGTTGTTCAAATGTGGTTGGGCCTATGCAACATGGGTGTGTTGTATGGTGTTATTTAATATTGATTAATTATTCAACTGTTTTTACTATTCTCTTAAATATTTACTGAATGCTGTTTCTGCAAATGAGCTATATTATGCCATCCTTTGTTATCCTGTGCACTTGCATATTTGCTGTGTGACTTGTTGAGTATGTCATATGCTCATTCTTGCAATATTCATTCATTAGAAGACGAGTATCTCAGTGAAGGTGATGATCTGGAGGATTAGGCTTGTTCTTGGTTAAGATGCCTGTGGAGAGGAGTCGCCATAGCTGTTCCGTAGTTTGTTATAGTTTTATTTTTCCGCTGCGTAGAATGTTATTCTTTGAGAGGAACTATCTACCTCTGTAATCTTTTATTATTTGCGAATATTAAATAGTTATTTATTTGTACTCTATTATCAAGTTGTCATTGTGTGCCTCGGTTGATTCCTGGACGAGGGTTTAACACACATGTAAGCGTTTGGAATTTTGGATAGAAATTCCGGGCGTGACAAAAATACCATGAAATTCCTAAATGGTCTTTAAATATTTGAGTTTGGAAAATTTGTGTTCATGTTAGTTTCTTGAAACCTGGTATTTGAATATTCAATATGAATTGATGTACATTTGAATTTTCAATTCTAAAAGTTTAAAATTCAGCTGCAAAATTTAAAAAAAGTAAAAACAATGCAATATAGAAGAGTCCTTTGGTGTGGATATCACTGATAGGCAATTTTTCCATTGGAAACACACTCTAGGGATTGGTGGTAGTTCAACAACTAGTTTTAATTTTGGATTGATGGCAGTTCAAGAACTAATATAGTTTTGGATTTACTAATGTCATATATCTTATTGTCTTACCGAAAATAAGCAATCAAATGTGATTATAATCCTTAGATTAATCCACCAACCAGAAAAGCCATCTATTGTAGGGCCAAGCTATTTTTAGAGAAAATTCCTTATGTGCCATTAAAAGTTCACCAGATTCCTTATATGCCACTAAAAATTTGCTATTCCTATATATACCACTAAACAGATATTTCCTTCCCTCGTGTGCCACCCATGTCATCTAACCATTTTAGTTAGCATGAAAAATACAAAATTACCCTTAGCTCCCTCCTCATTCTCTTTATATACTATCCCCCTATTTTTTCTTTGCCAAAATTACCCTTAGCAATCAATTTTGTATGATTAAATTAAATATTCGATCAATTTCTTAAGTTGAAAAATTGTTTATTTTTCTAAACTGAACCGATCTTTCTTAATTCGATGTACAAAAGATATTGAATTATTTCTATACATAGTTTGCAAACTAATTACAAAAAATGAAAACTTTTCATCCAACCATTGATTGTGTGTATTGAATTTTTTGAATTAGTAGTGTCCGCTAAAGTTGTAGTCATAGTTACAAGTACTCCCTCCATTCCATAATATAAGACACAAATACTTTTTAAAGTTATTTCATAATATAAGGCGTGCATGCATGCATGTCATTAAGTAGCACATATTCTCTACTCAAATATTATTATTTAAATCCCCTACCATTAAGATCTCTGATTTTATTAGGTGCATGCATTCTATTTATTAAGGTAATCCAAACTATGAGATGATAATAATTATTTCTTGATCTTTGGATTAAGAGTGGTTGTGTATTAGGGCATGTACAACCCACAGATAGGGGTTCGTCTCCAAGAACCTCGAAGTTATCATCCAGACAGATATAAAGACAGCTCATACAACCCATAGACAGAGGATCTGTCTGTAAGCTGTTTAATGCTTTTGCATGTAGCTTTGATCAATTGCAAATACGTTTGTGTATACCATTGTGTGGCTATATATTTGAAATAATACTATCAAGCATGAATAAGATACATGATTACAATAATTTTTAGGAACCATAAATATAATAATTATATTACAATGCCTTTAGTCTAATTTCGTCGCCAAACTTTTCAATCACCCCTTCAGCAAATTTTATAGTATAAAAGTGAGGCTTGAATTCACGTTCACATTCACAGAAACGGGCATGCACATAACTGAAGCATTCACATAAAGGAGCACATATACATAATGCCTGTAACTGAAGCATGCACATTCACATTCCAGAAAGAAACTGAAGGGTACATTCACATTCACATAAGCAAATAAGTCCTCTCGGCACTCCAACAGAAACTGAAACTGAAGCATGCACATTCACATTCCAACAGAAACTGAAGTGCACATTCGCATTTACAAATCACATTCACATTAATTCAGAAACTGAAACTGAATGAGACCTCTCGGCACTCCAACTGACCTCACAGGATGTATATGTATAGAGACATACACTGAACCTGCTGAAAGATTAAACATAACTGCATATGTATATAGAGAGAGTACAAAAAGAAAAGGAATGCAATAAAAGGCTAATATGCCCATCTTTTTCCCTAGATTATATATACTCCATATTAGTAGTATAGTGTATCACTGAACAAGCACCAAAATAGGCTTAGTGGATTGAGCATGAACAAAAATTATATAAACTGAGACATACACTGAACCTGCTGAAAGATTAAACATAACTTGCCAATAGCCAGAGTTTAGGATAGAAAAAGTGGAAAAGTTGGTTTAGGATAGAAAAAACAGCAAGATAATTTGGCATTCACCAGATAGCCAAAGATAGTAGCCTCCACTTGCAAAATTGACATATCTGTATCAATAACAGTAAGGTTCATATTAGACACTGAAGGGACTGCCTAAGACACTTGTAATCACACATATTTGTGGCAATAACATGTAAGTTTCAGATATTGCATAATTGTTTACCTGTTCAATCAGATTCAGGGAAAAGAGTTTTCATAAGACACTTCATCATACTAACTCGCTGCGCCTTTTCCTCAGCAGACATTGAACTTGTATCTTGTGAGATGAGGCTGTTATAAGTCTCCATCATCTTTGACTCTTTCTCAAGCTTCCTTCCTTCTTTGTACTCTTGTGCTGTAAGGTGGGCAATTTTTGTGGCCTCTAGCTTCTCAGAAGATATTTTTTCCTGTCTGTCCAATAGTTTCATGCGCTTGTCATTGTTTTCCTCCTGGAATTTGCTATATCTATCAAATTTGTCTAACTGAATAGGAGACTCCTTTGAGTGACCATCATCACTACTGCCCAAACCATTTGACTTGATTTTTGCATCTAGAGCTGCCTTTTTAGCGGCCTTCTGACCCATTGGTCGCTTTGGCATCTCATCAAAAGTGTCATCAGCTTCCTCAGAGTCTCCTTCCAAGTGAAATGATTTCCTTTTACGTGCATTCCTCAGGTTATCATTGTATGTTTTCCACTTTGAGACTTCTCGGCATATTTTCCAAACCTCCATCAGCACAAAGGGTCCTAGCTTTGCCTCTTTATTGTCATCCACATAAAACTTGTGTGCTGCATCAATCCACATTTGATTAGAATATCCACTTGTAAAAATTCTACGAGCCTTTACATAAGCACACTCAAAGAGATCCGTCCACCTATTAATCTTGTGCCATCTATCCTTGCATTGCTTCAGATTTCTTTTTCTGAGAGGTGGGGTAGTCTTGTTGTACGATTCAACAACTTCACCCCAATATTGGCCACCTCCCTTATCTGCTCCACATGTAGAGTCAGTTGAATGCTCTATCCAAGCACTCATCAATATGATATCCTCTTCCTCTGTCCACAGTATCCTCTTCTCAGTCCTAACATTGCCATTGCCATTTCCATCATCATTGCCTTGTAAAATTTCCACCTCTGGTGGTGAACTAGCATCAGCAATGTAAATAGGCGCACCAACCAAATGAGAGTTTTGTGCATGATTTCCAAAATAGCTCATGAAACCACCACGTGGATGTACATCTTTATCCCTGCAGGATAATAGCATATATTTGAGGCAAATAAATTGGATAATATCTTAGATCACAGGGATAATCTCTGCATTTGAGTTTGGCTCGCTTTTGCGAATTATCTCATGGCAGCTAGTTCATTTCAGTTACAGGGTTCTAGCTAACTACTGTGACCATATAACAAAGGAAGGGATTACTGACATTACTAATCAGGTAGTATAAACAAAGTAACATCTAGAGATAGCTTCATCCAATCCACAAGAAATTTATAATATAAACAACCATCAGATTTTTATTTCTCTCAAAAGTTGAATATAACCTCAATAACATTAGGATAACATGCTACATGATGCAAAAAATTCCAGAGTCAAGTAATTAAATTGTAGAATGCCTTTTCCAATCAGTACTAAATTAGCAGTTATAAACATTTAAGTAAACTGTGAATGGTTAAGTTGCAGAATGCAGAGAAGCTCATCACATGGCAGGGGATGTACAATAAAGCCTGATTTTTATGACTTTGTAACACTAAAATTAGTTCTAACACAGAACATAGTAGGCATTCAGATGGGAAAAAACAAGCATATTCTATGTTCTCTTGTGATGTAAGGGGCAATTTTTAACCCACAAGAATCAGTAGCAGTTCATGAATCAAACATCCACAAGGAAACAAATCACACAAGCATATTCTGCTGGAACAGAGAACAAGAATAAAAGATTACCATGATCCAGGAGAAGATTCATCACCACCGGACGCATCCAACCAAGCTGAAGAGCTGGGGAATCCACCTCTGTAGGATCCATCAAAAGGTGGAGGGAAGGGAAATCCATCCATGGACGCTGAATAACTGGGGAAGCCGCCTGGAGGGATTGCTGCCACTGCTGGCCCGCCACCACGGCCGAGAGAGCGGGGCGGCGGTGCTAACCCGACACCGCGGCCGCCACGACTGAAGGGGAGAGCCGCCGTCGCCGACCCAACACCACAACCTAGGGTACGGGCTGGGGCTGCCGCCGCCGCATCTGAGGCCTCAGGTGTGCCTCCCTTCTTCTTCCTACCTGCAGCCGCCGTGGACATCTCAGCAGCACCCAAATCAAGCGAGGGGAGTTGGAGATTGGGAGAGATTGCTGCGCTATATGCTGGAGCAAATTTCCTGGATTTCGCGGGCAAATTTCCCGGATTGGGGGAGTGGGAGGGGAGTTGGACGAACCTGGATTTTGCGGGGAAATTTCCCGCACGCGCGCTCTCCGCGCGAGATCCTGCCGCGCCGTCGCCTCGGGACGACGAGCTCGTACAACGGTGCTGAGCTTGCCTCTTCCGCCTCGGAGCACGGGTCGTCGCCGTCGCCTCGCGAGAGGACGCAGCTCCCGTCGCTTGACTCAACCAGGGGGTTTTTTTTGCATAAAAGGCATCACAAAGACGGGGCAAAAAGACCCGCTGTACGTGCCCTTATATTTTGGAATGGATGGAGTACTACTCATCCCGTTCCTGCTTTATATAATAGGAAAGGAAGTCTAAGGGTAATCATGCCATTTTTAGAAAGAGGACATTGTTTCTACTCTTATGTGAGGTGGATGGCATATAAGGGAACAGGAATTCCGTTTGATGGCATATAAGGAAATAGCTGATTTACGATGTCATATAAGAAACTCAATGAACTTTTATTGAAAAAGAAATAATTTTCTCATTTTCTTTAACAGAAGATGACAATGCAAAGAGCTTTTCATGCATAAGACACCCTAGATCTCCATGCCAAAGGAACCTTCTATGTTAGTTCTTTTATTTATTTTAGATTTTCAATGTTGAATGGTAAACTTTAGCCTTTGGGAATTCAAAGTTTAAAGTATTTATTGTTATATTAAATATTCAATTTTTTTTTCTGAAATTCAACTTTCGAGATTCCAAGTACAAAATTGTTTTGCAAGTTGAAGCTCTTGAAAACTAAAAGACGGCATGCCCTTTCGTAACATGGTATGTTTTTAAGCATTTGTGTTTTTCTTTGTGCAAAAAAGTATGTGTCGTCAAAGTTTAAAAACAAACAATGCTTCATGTCAATTATTCGAAAAGATATGAAATAATAAATATATAATAATACAGAGAGATATATAATTAGACGAAAAAAATTCAAAATAAGTACATTTCTGGGTTGAAAATCGTTCAAACAAACCACTACCAAAACGAAAGGGTGGAAGTCGGAATCGGAATAGGCCACCTTGGGCTCTCTCTCTCTCTCTCTCTCTCGCCTCTCTATCTATCTGGGCCCAGAGGTTGGATTGGAAACTCCCCTCGCAATAAAAGGTGAGGTAAGCTGAAAAAAATTAGGGCTACAGAAGAAAACCCGAAACCCTCGCCTTCTCCCTCCCCGGCGCCGCCGCCGCCGCCGCACTAATCCGCCGGAGACCGGGAGATCGGGCCAGATCCGCCGGTGGAGATGTCGGCAGGGACCGCCCCGGCCGCGCCGCGGTACGCGCCGGACGACCCGTCGCTCCCCAAGCCGTGGCGCGGGCTCGTCGACGGCACCACCGGCTACCTCTACTACTGGAACCCGGAGACCAACATCACCCAGTACGAGAAGCCGCTGCCGCCCGAGGACCAGCTCCCGCCGCCCCCGCCGCTCCCCCCGCCGCCTCCCCGCTCCGGCCGAGGCGACCGAGACCGCGACCGCCGCGACCGCTCCCGATCCCGCACCCCGCCGCGGCGCGACCACCGGGACCGCGACCGGGACCGCGACAGGCGCCACGACGACCACAGGTCGGCGCCTTCCCACCACCATCCTCTTCCGGCCGCCGCCGCCATCGCCGCCGATGATCCCTCCACCGAGGCGTATCGCCACCGCCACGAGATCACCGTTGTCGTAAGGATCTAACAACTGTTTGTTACATCCCGATGTTTGTTTATTGTTTACTTACTAAGTACCTAATTTTTGTTTAATTACTAAGTACCTAATTTTTGGGTTGGTTGGCGTCCATGGTGCAGGGGGACAACGTGCCAGCTCCGATAACTTCGTTTGAGACTGGTGGATTCCCACCGGAAATCCTCAAGGAGGTATGCACCATCTGCTTGGGTGATGAATCCTAACACATGGCCTAACCACTAACACAAAAACGGAGTTGCCTATACTTACTAGTTCGGCGAGCGTGATTACACAGACTTGTTTCTCCTTATTTGCTTGCTTGATCCTTGACTGTGCTAAATCAGAGCCGGCTGCGGGTTTCAATTATTTATCTACATCTCTGTGGCAGATGCGATATTTGCTCCAAAGGTGGAGCGAATGTCGTACGCTGCCTCGCGCACCCCTCGGCCAAATAAGAGCGGCGGGCTGAGGGAAGATGTCGTTGATGGAGTTGATAGAGTTGCTAAGGGTGGGTGAACACCCGAGGCGGCTCACCCCTGGCTCTCTCTCACTCCCTACCGAGGGACTGCCCATGGCGCAAAGGGGCACCCCATGTGGCGGCTCAACCTTGGCTTGCTCGCGCTTCCCGCCGAGGGATTGCCCATGGCGCAAAGGGGCACCCATGGCGGCTGATTTGTTGCTCTGCATCCAATCCCTGGAGAAGGCTCCTCACATGGATGGTGGGCCTCTTCTGGGGCCTGGCCATGGAGGTCGCACCGTCCATAGGACCTGCGGGCAGCTGCTGGAGGGGCTTCGCACCCAGGCTGTCAACGTCCATACATAGGACCTGGACCTGCGGGCAGCTGCTGAAGGGGTCCTGTGGATGAACGATCCATGGTTGAGCGAGGCTGCCTCCAGGGATGCTGTTAGAGCCTTTTCTACTTCACCTTGCGCATGCAAGTCAACACATCTTGGATGCACTTTCTTTTGTACGATATCTTAAGTTGGACTCATGCACTGTTGATTCTTTGTTTCTACTACTAAAGTTTTGGAGGGAAATTATAGCTACATATTTACGATATCCTTATCCTTATCCTTATTGTGTCTGCTTTTGCCATTTCCCCTTGTTTTCAGATACAACGTGCTGGATTCTCAAGTCCAACGCCAATCCAAGCTCAGTCATGGCCAATTGCCTTGCAGTGTCAAGATGTTGTAGCTATTGCAAAGACAGGATCTGGAAAAACTCTTGGGTATCTACTTCCTGGATTTATGCATATTAAACGCTTGCAAAACAACCCAAGGTCTGGTCCAACAGTGCTAGTTTTGGCACCGACAAGGGAGCTTGCAACTCAGATTTTGGAAGAAGCTGTGAAATTTGGCAGATCATCAAGAATTTCTTCCACGGTCAGTTCATTCTACTATGATACATATGTTATTGTTGGGCTACTGGCATAAAACAGTATTAGATAATAGATACACAGGTTTAATTGGCTTTATGTTTTGTTACTTTGATAAACCCTATTGACCATCTAAAAAGGATTTTCAAACATCATACAAATGCAGATGTGCTACCTAGTTTCCAAAGCTTGTTTATCAATTAAGATCTTTGTCTTTATCTTGCCTTGTTTTGGATTATTATATGATGTTTGTTTATCTGTTTTTAGTGTCTATATGGTGGTGCTCCAAAAGGCCCCCAGCTAAGAGATTTGGATAGAGGGGTCGATGTCGTTGTTGCTACACCAGGAAGGTTGAATGACATCCTAGAAATGCGAAGGATAAGCCTTAAGCAAGTGTCGTACCTTGTTCTAGATGAAGCTGACCGTATGTTGGACATGGGATTTGAACCACAAATTCGGAAGATAGTGAAAGAAATTCCTCCTCGTCGGCAAACCCTCATGTACACTGCTACTTGGCCTAAGGAAGTCCGACGAATTGCAGAGGATCTTCTTGTTCACCCTGTCCAGGTGACCATTGGAAGTGTTGATGAGCTTGTTGCTAATAGTGCTATTACTCAGGTTTGTTCCTTAACTGATGGGCTCCATTAATGATACTTCAAGATCCTTTTGTTTCCTCTCATCAGTTCCTTTGGATAAGAAAAACAGTTGGTACTATTTGAATGTACGGTTTCACCAAAAAAATCCCATCCTTAAGAAGTTACTATAATTCTCTTTTTCTTGGCAGAATGTGGAGCTGATCACACCGTCCGAAAAGCTTCGCCGTCTGGAGCAAATTTTGCGATCCCAGGATTCAGGTTCGAAGGTACTAATATTCTGTACCACTAAGAGAATGTGCGACCAACTTGCAAGGACACTTACTAGGCAATTTGGAGCTTCTGCCATTCATGGTGATAAGTCCCAAAGTGAAAGAGAGAAGGTCCTGAGCCATTTTAGATCTGGGCGATCTCCTATTTTGGTTGCAACAGATGTTGCTGCACGAGGCTTAGACATCAAAGATATCAGGTACTCCATCCGTTCTTTTCTGGATGTTTTTGTTCTCAAATAGATGTCCTTTTTAGCCTTTATAGGCAGTGTTTCCTAACTTACCCCCTAGTAGAAGCGCTGGTTCAATAAATGGAATTATCCTTATTCAACTCAACTATTGCCACTACTAGCATGTTTGCAAGATTAATTAATATGGTATTTGCTCCAACCAAAAAAAACAGCAGCTAGCATAGCACTTTGCTTGGCTGTGCAGTGAGGTGCTGGTTGTCTGTGCTATGTCTATGAAATCGACCGATGGCAGGATTGGACAAGTACTTTATACTGCTATTAATTAGAGATGATATAGTGATAAAAAAGGTTAATTATTCCTTGGTCATTGTGCTTTAGCCTAAATGATGTGTAATTCTGAATGAAGGGAGCATCATTTCAAAGTTTTGTTGATATGATATTATACTATTTTCATTAAAAAGTGGAAGCAGATTCCTTTGGTTCTGTCATGTGCTTATAAGACCAAAGCACATTGACACACCAAACTTGGAGAGTATTTAAAATTCCTTCAGTCAATTAATAGGGCAAAGTTGTCTGTACAGTAAGGTTTTAAATATAATTGAAGTGCTCACTATTGGTTGTATTATACTCCATCCAAAAGTCTAAGACCTATTCCATTCTTTGGTTTTTTCTAAAAATCTAAGTCCTATTTGTAGTCATTATTAGTTGCATGTTTATTGGTTTTGTCACATGGTGAGTGAGTTAATTGCTCCTTGGTCTTGGTGCAAAAAGAAATAGGTCTTAGACTTTTGGATGGAGGGAGTATCTGGGAAAATATACTGATTGAAGTTTTCCTGCATCCACTGTATGCTGATGCAAGTGTATATGTAATCTTGGGAGCATAGCATTTTGATCAACATAGTTTTTAGCTTTGTTTTGGTATTCTAGGGCTTGTTCAGTTTGGTGCCAAAATCAGCCTACCAAAATTTGACATCGCCAAATGTTGGCATATATTGACGTTACCAAATTTTGGTAGCGTTGGATGCGTTTAGTTTGTAGCCTTACCAAAATTTGATAGTGTTTTTTTGAGAGGAAGTTTTGGGAAATACCAAAATTTGGTAGGGTGTCAATGGCAATAGAATGTTTGGTTTGTTACCTTACAAGTTTTGGTAATTGCACATTTACATTTGTACCTATGTGCATCACGTGTTGACGTTTACATTTTAATTGAATTGACTTCTGTTTCATTGGCACAGGGTTGTGATCAATTATGATTTCCCCACTGGCATTGAAGATTATGTTCACCGGATTGGCAGGACTGGAAGGGCTGGTGCCACTGGTGTGGCCTATACGTTTTTCTGTGACCAGGATTCAAAATATGCTGCTGATCTTATTAAAATTCTGGAAGGCGCAAACCAACGTGTGCCTCGTGACTTGGCGGACATGGCCTCTCGGGGTGGGCGTGGTGGTAGGAAGCGTAACCGGTGGGCAACCCGCTCTGATAGGGGTGGTTCGCATTCTGAACTGGATTCTAGGTATGGTGGAAGAGATGGTCTGTCAGGGTCTTCTGGCAGATTGGATAGTAGTCGCAGTAGTCGCAGGTATTTTCGCTTTCACCTCTTTCTTTTTGAACACTAATTATCAGTATCTTTTGTACACATGTTATATGAAGACATTAGTTTCTTTTTTGACAGATTCGAAACAAGTTTGACGAAATTGTTGATGAAACACTTTAAGGATCTAGGTCTCATTAGTTTATTAGAAGACCTGATCTGTGGATTTGCTTTATTTAGTTGACTGCAGTATTGCGCCTGAATCTTATTATTGAGTTTTTCTGCTTTTGACAGGCATGACTATGGTGATGATGGACGGTCTCGCAGGTCTGGGAGAGGTCGCAGTAGGAGCCGTAGCAGAAGTGACAGTGATAGGTATAGCCGAAGTCCTAAGAGGTCACGCCGTCATAGCCGTAGCAGGACCAGGAGTCGGAGCCGAAGCAGGAGCAGGAGCTACACTAGGAACCGTCGTGCTAGCCGCAGCAGGAGCCGTAGCCCTGGTGCTAGCCGTAGGCATGAAAGAAGCGCTACTGGCTCTGGGTCTGCACTGCCAGACTCTGGGCACGGTGAGCGCAAAAGAACACCAGAAGCTGACCCATCAAGAAACCATACAAACCACTCAGACCCGAAAGATGACCGACACCCAGAGGATGGGAAGGTGGGAAAGGTTGATCTCGATCGGTCGCCTACTCCACAAGACAAGTCTGGCCCATATAGTCCTGCTTACAATGGAAAAACCAGTCGCTCAGTGAGCCCTGGTAATCAGGTGGAAGGAAACAACAAAGCTGCGGAGGTTTCTAAGAATCCTGATCCTTCATCGCCACCCCATCATGGTAAGACCAGGGAGGACGAAGAGGAAGGTATGATAGATGAAGATGGAGAGATAGCTGATGATCCTCGGGCAAATGCAACCGTGCAGAATGGCGGTGATAATTGACTCTTTGGTCCCAAAAGAATTTAACAAACTGCTGAGCAGCCACTACAGATGATCTGCGTGACAAAGCTCAAAATGTTAAAAATTGTCTGAAGCTGTCTTTTCGTAGTCAAAACTTAAGTTATGAAACTATCCGTGTCGTAGAGAGCTGGAGATTGTTTTGTGCCTGAGTTGTCTTATAACATTATATACTTTGTAGACCCTGTCGAAGTAGATCATGTGAAGTGAAGTTGGTAGCTCTGTTATTTGTGAACCAATACCGGAGGTGCAAATCATGCAAGATTATGCAAATGTCTCATGGCGGTTCATGGCTTCATGCCCTATTTGGCTACTGATCTAAGATTGCCTTTACTTGGAATATGCTGGTTACAACTCACGATTGTCTCAATTATGCGCGAGGGCGAGGGCGAGGGCTCGGGCTCGGATGCCACTCTGAAGAGTGGATTTCGTTGTAACGCCGCAACTCACGATTGTCTCAATTATGCGCTCGGGCTCAGCCTCGGATGCCACTTTGAAGAGTGGATTTCGTTGTAATGCCAATCCGCAAAGTGGCTTCAACACGCTGCTCCACAGTTTTTTTTATTTTCACCGGATTAAGGCACGAATTCGCTTGTGTTGTGAGGACTGTCAACGAGCCGAGCTCGAGCAAGCTTACCTATAGCTCGGTACAGTTGGTTTAGATACGAGCTTTGAAATGGGCTCGAGCTTTGCTCATTCGAGCCTCGAACTTTGTCGAGCTTAACTAGTGTGGCAGCAGACGACAGTATTAGACTTGTAGTACTATCGTTTTTAAACATTATATGACCAATAGTAGTAGTAGTATTAAATGGAGGCATGAAGCTGAGCTGCATGCATGCATGCTTGTACTAGTAGTACTAGTAGAGGCTAGGTACTAGTAGTACTAGTAGAGGCTAGGGCCTGCCTCCACGTCCACGCCATGATCTGCTTTTATTCAGCTTTTTCTTGTGAGATGAGTCAAGTACTACTACTCTACTATAGGGGTGGATATCGAGCCGGCTCGACTCGGCTCGGTTTGGCTCGTTACCTTAACGAGCCAGCTCGGCTCGGATCGTTAAGACTAACGAGCTCAAGCGCTGACTCGGCTCGACTCGGCGAGCTGGCTCGAGCTGGCTCTTTAAGCTTGTTTAGCTCATTAACTCAATGAACAGGCGCTCTTGGACTCCATGCTTGCCAACCGGCGCTCCCTATCCATGAAGGCCCTGCGGCGGCTGTGGGAGAAGCGGCGTGGTCGGCGTGGCCCAGCGGCTGCAGCGGGAGGAGCGGCGTGGTCGGCGTCGTCGGCGTGGCGCTGCGGCTGCGGGAGGAGCGACTGGAGTCGTCGCCTCATCGGCGTGGCCTTGCGGCCTTTGCGGCTGCAACCAGCGGGAGGAGCCGGTGGGCAGGGCAGCGCTGCAGCCTGTGGCGTGCCGGCGGCGGAAGGAGAAGGGCGAGGCAGCGCTGCGGCGGCGCAAGAGAAGGCGACAGCGGCGCAAGAGTAGGCGACGGCGGCAGCCTGCTACTCTGCGGCGGCGCATGCGCATGAGAGGCGCATCGGCTGACGACGGACATACTGGATAAGGTCAAAGCTAGGGTTTTTGGGCACTTGGGCAGTTGGGCTGGGCAGTTGGGCTACCTTATTGGGTTGGGCTGCCTGTCTGATTTTTGAGCTATGCGAGTTTAACAAGCCTACCGAGTAACTCGCGACCTGGCTCGGGCTCAGCTCGTTTGCTTAATGAGCAAAACAACTGGCTCGGCTCGGCTCGTTAAGACTCCGAGCTCAAGTCGATCCGAGCCGAGCCTGAAACGAGCCGATCCGAGCCATGAGCTTCGAGCTTTTTGCTCAGCCCTACTCTACTAGTAGAAGACTAGCACTGCTACTAGCTGTTGCATGGAAAATTTGAAAGAACTGGAGGAAGAGTAATGCCAGCTCAAATGAAACAGAGAGAACTCTAGGCTCGACGAGCTATTCGAGCTCGGCTCGTCAAGCTCGCGAGCTTGAAGCAGGCTTGAGCTCGGTTCGAATTAATGACGAATCGAGCTCAAGCCGAGTCAGTAGCGAGCTGAGCTCAAGCAGCTCGCGAGCCTCGAGCATTTTTGACATCCCTAGACCAATGCCATCGCCAACAATGTTGCATTTTTTCCACTTTCGATCCACTTGAAAAACTTGCAAAAATTTGGCACCTAGTCATATATTCGTACCAAATTAGTACCAAAGATCAAAAGACACCAAATGCAACAAATGGAATACTCACAACTTGTTCATTTTCCTCACATTTGAAGAAAACCTTTCCACCATGCCTCATCGATCTGCACTCTACTATTGCAGCGCCGCACCTAGGGCAACGAACGAGAGGGAGGCCGCTAAACCCTACAGTCAACCGAGCAGGATATGAGCTACCTTGTTACATTCCCAAATCCTCGCTTCTGGTTGCAAATCTTCGCTACATAGCTCCCCTAGGGTTAGAGTTTCCTCTCATCTGCACAAATCCGGCTAAGGCGGATGACGACAGCTTTGGGAGGCTGCACTCGGTGTCGGCAATGAGGACGAGAGGGAGGAGGGTGTCGGCAATGTTGATCTACTGCCAGCACCAGAGCAGTGCGGCAACCCCAGTCAGCTTGCAGAATGGTCACTGCCACCGCCTGCTTGAGTTGTCATACTGTTGACGTAAAAACACGAGGCCTGGGAGATTTACTTAACTCCAGTGCAGGTCCAAAACTTGCCTTTAGGTATGCGAGCGTGCTAGTTGATTTGATCCTGCAATCAACAAAAAACAAAGAAAAGAAACCGCGGTTAAATCCATAAACGATAGCCGATGACATATCATTTATCTTTGAGCCGATGTCATATATGCATCGATCGGCAGTCATTATTAAGTAAGAAAGAACTAAATCTATTCGATCGGATGTAGATATTAACGGTATATAGTCCTTATATCGATATATACTTAAATCAAGTGATTGGGATAGATCTGTCACCATACCGAGACAGTATAAATCACTTAGATCAAAATATATATTAATAACGAGACTATATGTGTTCATAGCATAGCTGATCAGATAGATCTAGCATGTATCGGCTAATACTCCGATACTACTCTATATTAAGATATCACAGCAAGTAAAATATACCAAATGAAAGCCTAATATACTTAAATGCGACAAGATCTTAATATAAAGGGCAGATTTAACATGTCAATAAAGCACATAAGATGAATATAGTTAAATCAGGTAAGATCGACTGAAACCCCGATACTACCCTAATCGGCAACCAAAGACAGGCTAGAGATTGAGATTCTAATCACGACTCATAAGATCAAACTCAACTGATGCAGCTATAAGTATGAAAAGAAAGACAATATTTAGACAATCAAGCCGTTGGAAGTTTCATAGAGTGGTGGATATCCTATATAATCTAAGTTAACATCGATATTTAACCTAATCGGCTGCCTTCTACTGACAGATGTTAGCCAATTGTAGGTTAGATAACGATATTGCCGGAGATTATGTAAGACATATGATAACTCGACGAATTACATAAACAAGATTAGAGTGTCATAAAAATGGAAGCACTAATCCCGAGAACGCAAGCCGCCATAACAAGTTTTACCTCTTGTTGAAGATCGAAACCGATACAGCTCAACCCGAAAGCAAGAACTCGTCGAAACAAAACAAGAGTAAAAAGGGTGGCGATGCGCGAGATTATATTGAATGTGTGTTAGTTTGATTACATGGGGCTCGGGGTCTATTTATACCCGATAATTACAAAATATGTCCATATCGGACACGACTCTTATCTCTAACAAATTCTAAGATATGATAAGTCTTTGCGGCAGGCTTTTGCCCAAACATATCTCTAAGGAATTTACATAAAATATCCTAATTAATAGATACAATTGCCTTCTCAGGACTCTATCCATGCATGGCAATCATCATGAAGCACATCAACCTAACCCGACAACATATGCAATATCATATTGTTGGATTCGGCTCAATCGGCTAACCCCGTCCGACTCAAACTCTGCCGATCTTCAGTCGTAGCCGATTCGGACTTTAGCCGATCCTCACTCTGTTTCCGGGATGATTTCTATTTCGAACTCCATCTCGATTTCTTCTTCACCTCCGATCCTTGGATTACCGAATTTGGTCGTTAACACATACAATTGAGCCAGGGGCACATTGGTCACAACATTAGCAAATTTGTGCCTTAATCCGGTGAAAATGGAAAAAATGTGAAGCAGCGTGTTGGCAGTCGTTGGCGATGGCATTTTAACGAAGCCACTTTGTGGAGTGGCATTATAACAAAACCCACTTTTCAAAGTGGCACAATGTCTATTTTCTTTAGCAAACCATCACAAAGTTGTCCACATGTCCGCTCTCCCTTTGTACAGTTCAAGTTTAGTGTAAAATGGATGTTCGGTTAAGAGTAAGTGAAGCATTGAGCACTAACTAAACAGTTTCAACTCAGACATTGCCTGGACATGCATATTTCACCAAACTAGTTTGCCTATTCAGGTATATTTCACCAAACTAGGAAGCATCGAGCGCCACTTCAACTAAGACTTTGCCTGGTCAAGCATATTTCACCAAACTACTCCCTCCACCCCCATAATATAAAGGGTTTTGAAGGGATGTCTGTGATATACTCCCTCCGTACTCGTAAAGGAAGTCGTTTAGGACAATGTTTAAGTCAAACCTTGGGAATATAAATCATTAATAACTATCAAGTTGTTGAGTTTGAAAATGTAAAAATTATATGAATAGATTTGTCTTGAAAAATACTTTCATAAAAGTATACATATATCACTTTTCAATAAATATTTTTATAGAAACAAGAAGTCAAAGTTGTGTTTTGGAGACCATGTCGCTATCCAAAACGACTTCCTTTACGAGGTCTCCCTCCGTCCAAAAAAAGACAAACCCTGGTTTCCGTGCCCAATGTTTGACCGTCCGTCTTATTTGAAAAAATTATGAAAAAAATTAAAAAGACAAGTCACGTATAAAATATTAATCATGTTTTATCATCTAACAACAATGAAAATACGAATTATAAAAAAAAATTCATATAAGACGGATAATCAAAGTTGGATACGGAAACCTAGGGTTTGCCTTTTTTTTTTGGAACGGAGGGAGTATAGTCCTAGGATGTGTCACATCCATCAAAAATACCTTATATTATGGGACGGAGGTAGTTGAATACAAGTATTGAACGCGTGGCGCCACAACTCGTAGTTGCAGCCAGTGCGGCAACCTAAACTGCTACTCCTTCCATCCCAAAAGACTTGTCGCTTTGAGTTCTTGTTTGTAGAGTGTGATAATTCGTCTTATTTAAAAAATTTATGAAATTATTATTTATTTTGTTTGTGACTTGCTTTATTATCAAAAGTACTTTATTATGACTTATTTTTTTATATTTACATAAATTTTTTAAAATAAGACAAATAGTCAAACATTACAAGTAAAAAGTTAAAACGACCACTTGGAACGGAGGTAGTACAGGTTAACATAAATCATGAAAGAAAATTGTTGCTAGCAGCAAACAAGACGTGATTTTTTTTTTTGTTGTTGTTGTTACACACAAATAGTACCGCAAATTAGAACCGATCCACGATAAGATTCAATCATGGAAGATTATGCGTAACTAGACGAGATCTCGTGCGTTGCCGCGGGCGGAATGTCATCGTGTTAAACAAATTTCATGAGTTGGAGTTCCTTGTATGGTACACCCTAGATTTTCTGACATGGTACACCCTAGATTTTGATTGACAAGCTAACATAAGGTTCCTGCTAGAACCAGAGATAAACAAATGGCATGAACATTCTTAAACATGAATGCTTAACTAAGTGAAAAAAAAAAAAGCTCCATGGTGGCATTAGTCTACAAAATGCCATAAAACTTTGAATCCACAGGTGTACTTTGAGGAACTTATGTAGGCTATAGCCTTTTGTTATGCCACAAAAACAAAAATGTGTACAGCAACAGTAGTACCCCTGGTAAAAAGAGTCAGATAAAGAAAATGGGCTACTAATATGTTTGTTTTTAGAAGGTGCCAATCATAGCTATGCATCCAAATCACAGATAAATTCAACTATTATAGATGATAAACAGAGTGCGTAATTTACCTGGGCAACAGAAAATATCATATATTGCCAGTGGAAGCTAAATTAGCATGTTTTGATAAGCTAAATATAAGTTTCCCATCCCTCAGTCGCCGGCTGATTGGATTCAACCAGGGCAGCTGCAATTACATAGGTTTAGAAAAAACAGTAACAGTTAGACTCTACCCTAGCCAAGAAAGTTACTGGACAGTAAAGGCACTAGTACTCGGGCTTGCTCCATCCATCGAAAAAAACCCATGTTCTGCATACTCTTCACATTCACCAAGAACAACCAACTCAAGTCCGAACTTTTCTGAATTCAGACTTGAGAGTTTGAACTCAATCCAACTCATGTGGAGTACATTTTTGGCATAAGCAAACGAATGAAGTAAACCTTTTACTGCCTTCAGTAGAGATAATTAGGTAAATACAATTAATGCAAACTCCTTTGCAGAAACTGATGATCTGCACTATTTCAGATCATTACCATTCGCTTTCCCAACAAGTAAAGAATGAATAGGGTACGATCTCAAAACATCAGGATCAACAAACATGTCACTGATGCCTATATAGTTGAACACCCAGTCTAGTTAAACCTCAACTAAGTTGCATATAGATTCTACAAGACAAACATCGATACATCAACAGTTTTAAGATTTTGAGAATGATAAGAACTTCGATCAGCAAAACCTGGCAAGCTATCACTTCTAGAACCAATTGCAGGTACCATACTGTACTGCCCCTTCTGTTTCCAGCACAACACATAGCACAAGCAGGGCTTAGACAGCGCAGGTGCTGCGACCTAGGAGGCGCGATACCGGTGCAGCACGGCTGCCACGCCATGGATTCGTGCACCGACGCCCACCATTGCCGTTGCCGCAAGCACAGGAGACGGCCCAAGAAAACCCTAGGGTGCGGCCACACAGGAGAGGAGAGGGAATGGAAGAGAAAAACTAACCGGTGATAGGGTGACCGTCAGAGGGGAGATCACTGCGTCATCGTCGTCGTCGCCTTTTGAATTGCGCCGCCGCAGTTTACCACCTGCACGTCGCCTCCGAGTCACTTTCCTGGGTCCTAGTGTAAAGTTGAAGGTTGCGTTAAGTAATTCTCTAGATTAAAAAAAAGCACTGAATCCTTTGAAGCGTTTGATGCAAACAAACGCACAAAAATGCTACATTTTATTACGTACAAAACAATATGAATTAAAAATGCTCCACGGCATCTCTTACAATCTCAAAGGCACACACTTTATGTGGCGAAAAACACAACAATATAAATGGAACATGAACATACAACTGAGCTCATGTAGACGTATCTGGCAAAGAACCCATAAGAATTACAGGGCTGCTATTTCTTGGTTTCCAAAGTTTATCTGGCCTAGCCTTTGAGATGATATCGGAGAAAAAACCAGATGATGAGGAGAACGATGAGGGTTGGATCAACTGAGTTGATGGTCTGCTTGCATCGTCACGCACAGCTTGTTCAAGCGCAACGATTTTCCTGCCTTTGCTGGCAGCACCCTTACCGCAAGGACATATGCTTATTTTCCTGAAGCATTGTTTATGGAAGATTGATCCACACGAACCACACTTTGTAGCTTCATCCTCCTGCAATTACCATAAAATTAATATCCTCAGTGACGAAGATAAAGATGCATAGAAATTAGAAAACAAAGACTTGGCAGTGCACCTGAAACGGAAAGATGAGTGCTAGCGGATCATCACAAGCTTGCCGAGCAGCACAAGGAACGCCAGAGTCGTAGCACACAAGGCATTGTTCTGTGATGTGTAAAAGTATCCGATTTGATATTGTTTGCACCTTAACGGGAAGCGCTGTTTCAAGCAGAGAAAACTTGTATCAGCTGCTCAAATCCTCATTTAATGGCTTATAATTTCAGTACATCTTTTTCAGTCACAAGACACTACTCATTCCTGAACAATAAACACAGGGCCAGCAAATGGGAAAAAAGGACATCTAGAATCCTAATGAAACTGCAGGCATGTTTTGGTGGGAGCTGAAGCATGAGCATTCACTATCCTTTGTTATAGAATAGATTCTCTCTTTTTTTATTATTCCTAGAGAGGAAATACATGCATGTTTGTGAAAGCAGATGTGGAAGAGAAAAGCAGATACAGCAGTCTCCTCACTTTGATGATTCAAAATAGACTGCAGTTTCCACTTAATAGTGGTGCAGTATCATCGCTACTAGTGTTCCATAGATAAAAAAACATGAAGGAATCTATTTGTTCTGCAATAAACATGAAGGGACATACTTTTCCAAATATGCTTTGGTCATCAGACATGTTTGTAATTTAAAAGCAGATATTAATGGGATTTAGATGCCTAGCATGCAAAGAACAGAAGATTGGAAACACAAGCTGATGCATTTCAATTAGCGTTAACAGAAAATTGTACAACAGCAAGAGCATTTGACACTATGATCATTGATAATGTATTTATAAAACATGCACAAATTCCTAAATGAGCGTACCTGCAAAAGCCCCTTTCGAAAGATCAACAAGGTCACGGAGCGCAAAGAAGTCATTCCCATCAAGAAGGTATCTTCGAGCTCCTAGTCCTCTAAATATGGAATTCCGGAAAGGACATTGGACACATGGAAGCATAGCTGCTATTTTCTTCCGAATACTCATAATATTAAGCAGAGCTGGCACCTTTGCAAAGAGGAAAGGATTGACAGCACTTACACAGAGCATAGGCTGAAAAAATGAATAACCAATTACTATAAGGTTGCAGTGTGAAATATGAGTGTCAAAACTCTATTTTATGTTGCAATCCAAGAAAACCGTGTACATAAAGAAACTTATGCAGTTAATATATCATTACCTGGTCATAGATGGAATCCAAATATGCTTTTGCTAACTGGGAAATAGGATATAAAGAGAAATCCCAGTGGTGTAGCACTTTTGCTGGCAGAACTGCAGTATCATTTGTGTGACAAGAAGCACAAAACAATTGGCCAGTGTAAGCACAAAACCGAGGCTTGTTCCATCCGATTGTTTGGACAATTTCTTGCAGCATTGTTCGCCCAGCATCCAAATGCCTATGGCATCCAGCACAATTGTAGTGTTGTAACTCCAACAACTGTCTAGTGGACTTCCGAGGCCTATCCTCCACAACAAGTGATATAGTCTTGCCCATTGAGGCAGAATCTTTGTGTGAAGTTCCATTGCAGCTTGAGCCTTTGGAATGTGAATCACTGCTTAGCCTTTGCAAAGATCTTGGGATAAGAGTTTTTAACAAGCTATACTCATAAGCAGGACTCCCTGGTGACAAAAAACTAACCAGAGGAGTGGGTGTTCCAAATGGATAACTAGAGACAAGCAAAGAACACAAACAGTCTTGAATTAGACTACTTCTCTCATTGACGATGTCTGGGGATGCATTCCCAAATAATTTACTTGATTCTTTTTCAACGTTTCTCCATGCAGGAGGCAGACTGAAACCTTTCTCAGCAAACAAGAGCTTGAGTTGTTGGTATAGAGCATAAAATTCACGGTACCGCCTCTCAATTTCCCAGTCATCTTCTCCGCTCTTGACTTTTAACAAATAAACAGTATATTCTCTGACCCCAACCATTCGCTCACCAAAAGAAACATCTCCTGTTCTTTGCTTTGCTCCCACAACCTCCACCCAATCAATTTTTGAAGGATGGTGAGGAAGGGGATATACATAAGCATCATCTGTACCAGAAGTAGAGGCAGTGGTGCTTCCATCTCTGAAATGATGAGCTTGGGAAGAATTATTTGCGCGATAATCTGTAAAAGATGCACTTTCATGGGGCTCCCCTGAATTGAGAAGAATATGTTCCATCTCTTGAACCATATCATCAAATAAATGATTGTCATCAAGGTTGTCCACCTAGATTGGGAGTATACATGTCAATTCAAGAATGTGACAGAAAACTGCTGGTTGGTGCTAGATTAAATACATCAATTTGATCAGGCAATGGAGCAACAACAATCTTTATCTCCTTTATGTACAGGTCAACTGTCAACTGGAAGAAATCTTCAAAAGATGGTATAATTCGTATTGATTAATGCTTTCACCACTACGTGAAAGGTTTTCGATTTGTACAAGTAGAACTAGTAGGCCATCTACTTTAACAGACAGGCTATTTCGATGTGTTATCTCAGTAAATTCGAAGTTAAAAGAAACTGAAGCGTAGTTGAGATGAGAAACAGATGGGTACTATGATTTTGATGCCTAAAGGTTAAATGACTCCACGAGCAAAGATGAAAGATATCCGCGAAGCACGGAAGCTACCGCCAATGCAATTCTGCACTGCTTGCAGTATATATGTTCCGTTTCTTGCCAAGAAACCTTGCCCAAGTCGCCCAATGCATTTTACATGAACAAAAAAAAAAACAAACTAAGAGATCAAACATTCGAAGCATACATACTAACTGCATATAAGCCACTGCTGCTAGTCATCCGTCCCACCTAAAGCTTAATTGCATCCGACAAGTACAAATTGACCGTTAAAATCGTGCAGATTAACCTCCTAGTAAGTCACCTACTACACAGAAACAAGTTCTTGGATGTCAAGAGACAAAGGAGAAGAACCGACCTGGGTGGGATCCGGCTCCGGCGGCCGCGGGAGAACGGCGTCGCCGGCCGCGGCGGGGGCGGGAGGATCGGGCCGCGGCGGCTCCGGCGGCGGATGGAGGCGGGTCAGCTGGTGGGCCTTGGGGAAGCCGGCGACGGGGTCGTCGAGGAGGAGGAGGTCCATCTGGTGATCCCAGAGGTCGGAGGAGGGGAGGAGGGTGGCGAGGGAGCTGGGCGTGCCGAGCGCGGAGCTGGCGCTGAGGTACCTGTCGTCCTCGCCGTCCGATCCGGCCGCCGACGAGCCGCCGCCGCCGTCCGACGCGGCGGTGGATCGTCGGGCTGGCTCCATGCTGGATCCCCCGCCGCCGCCGCTGCTGCTGCTGCTAGGGATTGGTGGTGTCGTTTCTTGGTTCTTGGTGGGAGAGGAGTAGGATTTGCAGTATGGTCCCTGTGTTTTGTGACTATTTTTTGTTTTACGTATCGTTTGACATGTTAGATCTTAGATGTACACCTTCGGATGTACAAGTTAGATCTAACCTATATTTATAGAGTTAGGCTCCCATCGGATGGCCTAATCAGCCAAAGAAAAAGCCAAAATTTAAATTTTCAAGCTTAATTTTGAGATTGATTTTGAGATATTTTCAACGTAGTTTCTTTTACAACATTGGCTTTAAGTCACGAATAACACATTTATAAAAGTTTTACCTATAAATTCATTTTTATTTTCTAATAAGCCGTTTTGGCTTATTAGGAAATAAGCCAAACAATGGGGACCTTAGAATGTACGATGTATCTCATATAGTATTAGAAAAAAAACTGTGGTTCTGATTAATTGATTTTCCTATAAAACTTATTTTAATAATAAATCGTATCAAAAACAAATCTCAAAAGTAAACTGTAACCTAAGCGTCAGCACCATCCTAGCTGATGTTAAGAACATATCTAAGGTGGCACAAATTAGCTAGGTAAAAAGAGCTCAACGTCACTATACATGACGCTGACCTCTTAACAGGTTTAAAATGATGTGCGGCCTCCAAGCATCATAAATTAAAGCTAGCCTGGCGGATGATCTGGCTTGGTTCCATTCAATTTAACTGTTTTCGTAATTTCTTGCTCTTTGAACTTCCCCACATGCTTTCTAAAACTCATTTTATTTTTAAAGAATAAATTTGAGAACCTGAACAATAAAACATAAATTTAAAAGTACAAAATTATTTATGGAGCTAAGTATTTTATTGAGATTAACATTTTAGTCAATGTTTTCAAATTTGTTTATTCCAAATTGAACATAAAATAATCCCCATAAAAATAACATAAACAAAATCTACAAACAAAATATGTGATTGTTTGAAAAAAGATAGAACAATATTCTAATAAAAAGCCTAAAAAAGAGGTTTCCCCTTTTGAAAAAAAGGGACCTACCCCCGAGCTAGCTTTCTAGAGTGAATCTAATACCCTACATACTTTTTTAAACCATATAGAGATTAGTGCCGCGAGAGATGGCATAGGGGTTGTTTGGTTTGCTCACAAAGTTTGCCAAAGGTTGCCACACCTCATGTTAGGCAAGTTTGACCAAATTAGTCTATTGTTTGGTTCATAGTCACACTTGTGGCAAGATTTCTTCTCATCTATTAGGGTCCCACATGTCATCAACTCAACAAAGTGTGGCATAATCCAATTTTGCTAGCTAAGGTGTGGCTCACTTTTTGTAAGCCACAACTTATGCAAGTGTGGCAAAAAATATGGTGAATGGTGGCAAACTTAGTATAGCATCCAAACAGCCCCATAGTCCATTACTCCATCACCTCTTCGAACGTGCCGGCTCGCACCACCGGATCTCGAGCAACCTGATGGCCTTGCCGTTGCGTCCCTGCTCGTACACGGCGTTGAGCGTCTCCTTCATCTCAAGGCAGCACCGCTCGAACACGTCGTCGTGGGCCACTATTTTTTAATTTTATTTTTTTGACCGATATGTGGGTCTAAATATTTTGTTTTAGTTTTTATATTTATTAATTTTTTGCCATATCACATAAAAACCGAGTCAAATTAACTACGTAGTAGTGCCACGTCAGCCTAAAATCGACATCAAAACCACCATAAGCTCTATGTTGCACTTTTAACAGTTGAGAGATAACGCTGTATCTTGTTTTCTAATCGAAGGATGAAAAATCAGATTAGTAGACGGAGATACCTCCGATGACCTGGGCCGTAAAAGGCCCATAATCCGACGGATCACGTCTCCCCCAAATCCAATCCCGCCGTTTCCTCCCCCCGTTATTTGAGGGGAAAGAGACGCTCGCATCTCGCATCCACACCCCAAATTCCAAATCGCTACCTCCCCCAAGAACCCTAGCTCCCTCTCCCCCCCTCTCTCTCTCTCTCTCTCTCTCTCTCTCTCTCTCTCTCTCTCTTTGCAGCCGCCGCCGCCGCCGCCGCCGCCGCCGCCGCGTCCGCTTCGACTCCCGCCGCCAGGTTCTCTCTCTCCAGCGCGCAGGCACCATGGCCGAAGCCGAGGTTAAGGACAACGAGGTTTACGAGGAGGATCTCGTCGACTACGAGGAGGAGGTGGAGAACGGCACCGACGGTGGCGCCAACGCCGCCAACGCCTCCGCCGATGTCGTCAAGAAGTGCGTACCCCCCAAGGGTTTGCTTTGTTTTCTCTCGCTAGGGTTAGGGTTTCGTGGTTGAGTCGGTTGGAGGGCCCTGATCTGAACTTCTTCTCTGTTGGACAGGGGGTACGTGGGGATCCACAGCTCGGGGTTCAGAGACTTCCTGCTCAAGCCGGAGCTGCTTCGCGCCATCCAGGACTGCGGGTTTGAGCACCCTTCCGAAGGCAAGCTCATATGCTCTTTTCTTTTTTTCCCCTTGTTGATGCTACTGCTGCTAGCGTTCCATCCTTTTGGAGGCCTTTAAATTGAAATCTAAATAAATGATGTGTGGAGTGGCAATCATTTTATTCTGAATTCGATATAGTCCGAGTAGTCACTTAAAAACCAACACTAACCCAGGTGTATATTAATTTGGTTCAAGGACTTTATAGATCTATAAATGGGCTAAAACTACTAGGATGGCGTTATCTAAGTGGTAACTGAAAATTCGAAAGTCACTTGTGTCACGTGCGTGCCCCTCTGTTTCTTTCATGTTAATTTCTTATTAATCTTATTTATTTCCTATAATAGCTTCTTACACTTATTTATTTCCTGTAATACCTTAATCAACCTTCATGCTTGCTACTGCCTCGTTACGTTATCTGAACGAGCCTTCAAATTTTGAGCCCATATGATGAATAAAAAGGCTTGATTGGAATTCTTTAAGTAGCATAGTTAACTGAGTTCGAATTGTTCTGACCAGACACAATACATAGTTGACAAGCTTGACTAAACTGATGGTTTTACTGGAAAAAAAAGGGGGAAGTAGTGCTTAGATTGGTCTCGCTGTGAGCTAAGACTGTCAATACATTTAGACTTATTTAATTGGAAAAAACAGCATGCTGAGATTGGTATCACTCTGGTTGTGCACTAGGATCATCCTTGCATTTAGACTGCTTTTGGTGGGGAGAAGGGAACCGGTGCTAAGCTGCTTGTGCGTTAGGACGGTCCATGCATTTAGACCGCTTTTGAACTTGGTGGACTAGGTGGTTTTATGGTCAACTGGTGTCAAACCAGCACTGGTTGAACTGGCTGAGCCAGTGATTCACCAAGAAGGAAGACCCAATGTCTCCTCAAGGGCTCCAACTTCATTTTACTGTAAAAAATAGTGAAAATAGCTTGCGGGTGGAGGATTCGCTCTACGACGGTGGATGCCAGGTCCTGTTGCCATCCCACCACCTCGTCATGTGTGTTTGTATTGAAACATACATGCAACATAAACTTTATTGAGCTGTGGACCACTGGACTGGTGAACCAAGAATTTGGCCGGGTCACTGACCAGTTCAACCTTTCATACTATGATACTGTACTATATTTAGATGCCTCGGAGTGAATGCAATATATAATTACTGCAAAGGCAAGCAATTGGTTGTTTTTAAGGTGCTATTTTCTCCATTAGCTAACATGGGCATATGCCATATATATTTAAACTTTGAATGCATTCCCTAGGCATTGATGCACTTGCCCACTCCACTTTTGCAGCCAGCTCTCCTGTTTCTGGGACAGTTCATCTAGAAGTAACTAAGTATTAACTCAAACAGAAAACAATAAATGAATTGATTGTGCATGAACATTTGCTCGTCCTAGTGCTTATTTCTAGTACCAAATAAGATTATATACACTCTAGCATTCATTATTTTTCCATTCTTTCCAAGCGTGTTAATGAAAACGTCATTTTGCTAATGTGCAGGTACAATTTTATCTGACAATTTTAGTTGGGAGGAGAATGTGGTAAAAACTTTCAATTAACGGCGACAGGAGGTTAAATAGTTTCTCACTGGGGTACTGCTCCAATTTTGTTTGGCTCTACACCAGTGCAACACGAATGCATCCCACAAGCCATTCTTGGAATGGATGTCATCTGCCAAGCAAAATCTGGGATGGGGAAGACTGCTGTTTTTGTTCTCTCAAGTCTTCAGCAAATTGATCCTGTTGCTGGTCAAGTTGGTGCACTTGTGCTATGTCACACAAGGGAGCTAGCTTACCAGGTATATATTTATGTCTTAGTTTAATTATGTCCAATATGTCTGCATATACTAACTGTCTCTTTACTTAATATAATGTTGTAGATTTGCCATGAATTTGAGAGGTTTAGCAAGTACCTTCCTGAGGTAAAAGTTGCGGTCTTCTATGGTGGTGTTCACATAAAAAAACACAAGGATCTGTTGAAGAATGACTGCCCTCATATTGTGGTTGGAACACCTGGAAGGATACTAGCTCTAGCTAGAGAGAAGGATCTTTCCTTGAAGAATGTGAGGCATTTCATTCTTGATGAATGTGACAAGATGCTCGATTCACTTGGTAGGCTGCTGTTCCTTGTTCAAGTGACCATCATTCTACACCCAGAATATGTTTACTTTGCGATAACTTTTCTACCCCTATTTGTATCATATCAATATATCATACATTGCTCTGTTATATTCTTATTAATGCATTTGTTTCTTCAGACATGCGTAGAGATGTGCAGGAGATCTTCAAAATGACACCCCATGATAAGCAAGTGATGATGTTTTCAGCGACCCTTAGCAAGGAGATCCGCCCAGTTTGCAAGAAATTCATGCAAGATGTAATGTCATGTGGCCTATCTCATTTCAATAGCGCTTCTTCTTACTCTGGCATACTACCATGATATGAGTGGTGGCAGTTCTGTTGTCAGTAGATCAAAGGGATTTCTGATTTTTGTACACTTCTCCATTGGTCGTAGTTCATCAATTACTACCTGAGTGTTCCTATTGGCTGCAAGTGAAGTCTTCTGTCAATGTGAACCATCTGGGGAGAATGCGGGTGTTGGGGTTGGGAGGGCACCGTTATTGTAGATTGTACAAGGCCAGTGCGGCTTTTCTCCAATTGTCTGCATGCTTGAACTGGACTCCGCTTTATCAGAGTAAACTGCTTCTGTTTCTCCTACCCTTCTCATGGTCAGTGTGGACAAAGCAGCTTCCTCTTGATGCTAGTTCTTGTAGCAAGCACTGCCCCAGAACTTCTTCTCTATGATTTGGTCAAATGTCAGTGTCCATTGTCATAGCTGAAGTTCAAATACCAGTGCCCAATTCATAGCTGAAGTTCCCTTAGGAGGCTCAAAATTTTGATGCAAGAAGAATTGATATGCTATTCTTATTGGTGTGGCTAGAACATTGGCACACAGAAATTCTAATACCTTTATCTACCATTTGTTATCTTACAGCCTATGGAAATTTATGTTGATGATGAGGCTAAACTGACCCTTCATGGGCTAGTTCAGGTACTATTTAATTATCAATTTGTCATTTGAACCACTTTTCTGTTTATTTTGTACCAACCCCCCGTTTTCTGATTCCAGCACTATATTAAACTAAGTGAGGCGGAGAAGAACCGGAAATTGAATGATCTCTTAGATGCACTGGACTTCAATCAAGTTGTGATATTTGTTAAAAGTGTTAGTAGAGCTGCAGAACTGAACAAGCTGCTTTGTGAATGCAACTTTCCTGCGATCTCCATACATTCTGGAATGACACAGGAGGAGAGGTTTGTTCTCTTGAATTCCTTCGTGGCCTGGTCTTTTAGGTTCTTGTGTTTTGTGCTTGTTTTATCTGTTATTAAAATAACAATAATCTATGCTGATGGTGGTGGTTGTCTTATTTTATTTATCTTTTTCTTTGTTGTCATGCTTTAGATGATGTCAGATATTTCATCAACCTAATTCAAATCTATATTTCTAAAGCTGGCGGGTCTCTCGGCCAGCTGATTGGTCGAGCTGGTGGCTCTATATTTTGTTGACACGTGTAAAGCAACCGGCGAACACTCGCGTACATCCAGAGTCGGAACTCGAGAGAGATCAGGAGAGGGGAAAAAATCGAAGCTAGTGAGCCACATACGCACATACACCTGGGCCTAGCGCCACATACGCCTGTTCCAGTTTGCTCAATGGTGCTACAAGCTTACGCCTGTCCTCGCCTCCTCGTGTTTGTCAACCTGTCAGCCTGAGGGTGTACAGTAGTAGAAACTAGCAAGCAAACATGGTTGACTCAGGTTCTAATGCTTTGTCTTAGCCCAACAACAATCAATCCATCTATCCTTAGCTAAAAGTATGTGGTAAAACTTGATTATATTGGACCAAATAACCATCAGGCCCAACTTTACTGAAATGAAAATAAACAAGTCATTTATATACCTCACAAGTAAAAAAATTTTAAATGCAATTCTGAGCATTAAAATCACATTTATAACTAATTCGTTATACAAGTACTTCGTTTCAATTAAAGTATAACATATTCAAATATATCTTCACAAAAAAATATCGTAGTTTAATTTGAGGTTTTTTGGAATAATATGATTTGCTTCACAATAAAACGAAGCTGAAAATTCATCAGAAAGTTTTTATCATAATCTATATTGAAAATAACACATAAATAGTATAACATGGGCTATAAAGTAAACGCGCGAATCGGCGTGTTAATTTCCTAGTGTATTCTATAATCTGTACATTTTTCTGGTGCCTATAATTGCTTTGTGGGTCAACCATAGTGCATTATCCATGTGAGTGTTATGATGTAAGCATGGATGGAGTTGACCTATTATTTCATACGTTCGTATTTACTTTATATTATTTCAATAGTTATGCCTAATAAAGTTAGCATATCTTTGAGACATTAAGGAAACTTGTTGAAATTAACAGCATGCCACGAAGCAGGATTCACCTGTGTTTGGTTTATGCCCTCAATTGTTGTTCTCTAGACCTTTTATACTATTATTATATGAATACTTTTGTTGGTGGTGATGGTCTGCCTGCCAACCTACCCTCAGCCACCACTTTATTGCTGGCAATGAAATAGACATGATCAGGGTTTCAGATCATACCACTATAGCCATTAAATGATTGAGGAGTTCTGATAGTTATTCCCTGACCAGTTGTGGCGGTTTGATCCCTGCCAAGAATCCTTAATGTTTGATCCTTATCTAATGATGGAGCTTTTACAGGCTTACCCGGTACAAGAACTTCAAGGAAGGACACAAGAGGATTCTTGTGGCTACTGATTTAGTTGGCAGGGGAATTGATATTGAACGTGTCAACATTGTCATAAACTATGACATGCCCGATTCTGCTGATTCGTATCTACACAGGGTAATTTTAACATCACTTCACTGCTTCTCTTTAAGTTCTTTCTCTTGCTGACATTCTATCCTCCAGGTTGGAAGGGCTGGGCGTTTTGGAACCAAAGGACTTGCAATAACATTTGTTTCCTCTGCCTCTGACTCTGATGTTCTTAATCAAGTTAGTACAACTGATCATTTTAATTTTGTTGCTTAACTGGTGTGATGACAAAGCCTCACTGTAATTTCTCATGCATGATGTTTTAAGGTGCAAGAAAGATTCGAGGTTGACATAAAGGAGCTTCCTGAGCAGATTGATACTTCGACATATAGTAAGTGTTGTTTACCTTGTTATTCCAGATTAATTTGTAATACCATATCATATGATTTGTTCAAAGAACTGATTTGTTGTATTTTGATTTGTATTTTCCAGTGCCTTCTTAAAGATCCGGGTGGATTGCTTAAAGCTTACATTCGAACGGAAACGAGAGTATCTCCTTGAGATACGGCATATTAAGAATCTATCGGATAACTAAAAACTTAGTGTGAGAAATGCTGCCCTATCTATACTTAGACAGCAGTTTAGATCTGCTGCTAAGTGCTGAATGCCCCGTAATAATACTTGAAATGATGTATCTGGGCAATTGGGCATGTACGTATTTGAATTGCAGTCGTTCATTGTAATTCCGAGAATTTTATTAGGATTTGTTTGTGTTAATTTTGCTACTCCGCAGATGCTAACGTGGGTTAGTTTATAGTACTTTGTTTATGGTACTTTTGAGGATTTCAACCGCGTTTCTTACCGTACATTTTGTTCCATTATCTTTTTATTTATTTATTTCACGTTTTATGCTGCTTCCGTTCTCCTGGCAACCCTCATGGATGGACTGATGGACACATGGGTATGATTTTGAGTAGCAGTTCAAGTTTAGTACATGGGAAAAGTGGCTCTTTTCAAATTTGGCTCCGTACCTCACAATATCGTCACTAAGAGCAGGTACATAAGCTAGTTATTAACATATTTTAAGGAGATAAAAAAGAAGAGAGAAGAGTAGCGGGTTATAAATTTGTAGCCAGTTATAGCACGGACTTCAAGACGTAATGCGTGAGACTGGATATCAATAGTGTAGTATGTAACTATCGTATGAATTAGCTATTAAAATAAATATATGATTTGGAGCTAGTAGTTGGCTATACTATTGAACTTCTCTAATTACATGCATTGGTCAGCCTAAGTATTTCGCATGATATTCTGATCATTTGGATGTTATCTTCTTTCAAGTTGACTACCGATTCATCACGGGCATCGCTCTCGCGAAGTATAAAGACTCACCTACATGTAAACTATATCCCCTACACGTAAACCATATCCAAGCAATTTCTCTTCAACCTCATCCAGCAAGTTCTCTCCAACCTCAACATTAGCAGCAAGTTATCTCCACCTTAACTCAACTTTAGCAGCAAGTTCTCTCTAACTTCTCAACATTAGCACACAACAATATTACGTACGCATAATATCCACCTAGAAGCTATAAAATATCAAATCACGAATATTCAAAGAAAACAATCCAAAACCGACACAGAATAGGCTAGTCACATATCTCCAAAATCACTTCGCCAAATAATCTCCAAATAACGAAACCAATTATCTCACATACCAATTGTTTATCACAAAATAATAATCAAATACACTTTGATTTTACAATATCCACCTTGATGAACACATTGGCAAACTCATCGAAAAAGTAGTTTTGGTATTTGGAAAAATAAAAACAAAGAAGTGGTAAAAGCATTGGCAAACTCATAAAAAAAGAGTAGTTTTTGTATTTGGAAAAATAAAAACAAAGAAGTGGTAAAAGCATATGAGTGTAAAAAATTCAAAAGAAAACTTCTCTCACTTTTGAAATTTTTTTCCCTCAATTGAAAAAATATGCACATTTTGTATCTCTTCTCCTTTTGAAGTTGATTTCATCAAGCATTAGCATTATGACCATTAATGTTCAAGAGCTTGTAATTATACATCGATCAATGCAAGGCCATGTGTCACAATAAAAGAAAGATAAACTCATCAATTAGATAGCAAGCATGCACTATAGTATAATCATAAACCAAAAATATTACTAGTAAGATCAAATTAACAATCAAAATTCATGATTTCAAACAATTTATAACGCAACAGTCACAAGTACATAGATTGAAAGAAAAACACCTACACATATACTTATTGCATTATTACTCTTTCTTAAACTAACTATATCACAAAAATAACCAAGAGAACTTTCAACATTTATTTGAGCTTCTTGTGCTCACTTTGACATTGATTACAAAATCTCTCAATTATTCTGGGTATGTCCTTGTCGTCGAGACTTTTTTTCATGAATTCGGCACCAATTATTTTTTCTCACTGCGAATACGTTATTGTCGACAAGAATGTTTACAAGGATTCTGTATTCATTTTTAACTCTCATAAAAGTAAATACAAGCAATATTTGCACTTGCGCCATTTGGAACAAACGAAGAGCAATTTGAGGAATAACAATCCAACAAGCATATGCATAAGTATTAGACATCCAAACTACGCACTAGCTTCAACATTGTATATTTTTAAAACTTAAGTGCAAAAATTTAAGTCATATATCATCTCCCTTAAAAGCAATACTTAAGCCTCATGAAAAGACTAAAATGCATACAAGCTATACTAGCGACAAATAAATCTTAATTATATAGCTAGCATGAACAAGAATATACAATTTGCATAAGACAAAACTCTCTTTTCCTCAGTTCTCTTTTATTTTCAGATTTACTTGATAAAAATCAAGAGCACATACTCCCCTTCAAATTATGTCAAAAGGATGAATAAGTCCTAATTCTCCATGAAGAAAAGCAAAGCGAGAAGCATCCAATGGTTTAGTGAAAATATCAGCAAATTGCAAGCTTTGTATCCAAAAACTTCAATTCAACATCTCCCTTCTCAACATGGTCCCTTAAAAAGTGAAAGTAAACATCAAAATACATTGTGCGTGAGTGTTGTATAGGATTCTTAGCAATATTGATATCACTTGTGTTATCTCAAAAGAGCGGAACTTTTCTCAAAAGTAAGACTATAAATCTTTCAATATTGATATAAGCCAAAGAATCTGAGAACAACAACTAGCAATAACAACATATTTTGATTCAACAGTTAATTAAGCAACATTAGGCTGTTTTCTAGAAGACCATGCAATTAAAGAAATATTAAGAAAATGGCATGTTCTACTAGTACTTTTCCAATCAATTATACAATCAGCATCGCAATATCCATTCAAGCATATACATTATGAAGTAGAATACTAAATTCCAAATTCAAGAGTGTGATTCAAATACTCTCATAATCTGCTTGACCGCTTGACGATGCGAAACACGTGGAGAAGCTTAAAATCGAGTATAGAAACACACAACAAACTGTATGTCTGGCATTGAAGCAGTATGATACAACAATGATACTTTTGTACTCCTTTTGATAAACAACTTCATCATTTTCTTCAGGATCCAACACGGTAGTAGACCCAATTGGTGTAGAAATTGGCTTGCAATTCTGCATCTTGAAACGCCTTAAAAGATTCTTGATGTACTTCATTTGATGCACTACCTTGAGGTATTCGCTTAATTTGCAATCCAAAAAGTACGATAAATCACCCATCATGCTCAACTTAAATTCCCTACGCATTATCTCAGAAAACTCCACAACCAAAGCGTAAGATGAACAACCAAAGATGATATCATCCATATAAATCTAAACGAAAAGTTGATTATCACTATGCTTAAGAAAACAATGAGTTTTATCAATCTCTTTCATTTGAAAACCTTTTTCAAGCAAAAAAGTTTTAAGTCTATCATACCATGTTCTAGGTGCTTGTTTAAAACATACAAAGTTTTTGACAATTTGAAAACATGGTTGGGAAAATCAGGATTTTCAAAACCTACTGATTGTTTAACATTAACTTTCTCCGTTATAAAACCATTTAGAAAAGCACTTTTAACATCAATTTGATACAATTTAAGAATTCTTGAAGCAACAAAAGCTAATAAAAGCCTAATTGCTTCAATTCTAGCAACATGAGCAAAAATTTCATCAAAATCCAAACCTTCCACGTGAGTAAACTCTTGTGCAACAAGTTAGCTTTATTTCAATCAAACCATCCTTATTTTGTTTTTTTTTAAAACCCATTTGGTTCCAATAAAATCATGACCAAAGGAGGTTCAACTACAGTGCAAACTTTGTTTCTCTGAAAATTAAAATTTTCTAAATTTTCTAGTTATTCATGCATGACATTAATCCATGATTCATAAGATAAGGCATGAGTAACATCTTTGGGTTCAAAAATAGCAACAAATGCATAATTTGCATGAACATCATCATTCGTTACCTTTGACCTTGTAGTACGCACACCTAGATTACCAATTATTTGTTTTCATGGATGTCGTCGTTTAATATGCAAAGGAGCAGTGATTTCAGAAGCTATTTCACGTTTTGTACCTTCACTTGTCGAAGCTGTAGCCTCTAGAGGTCCATTAAAATCAGCATCAACGGAACTTGAGTCGGACTCCCCTAGCTGGTCTGACTGCACGTCGAGTGCTGGTCTGATTAGCGGTGTCCCGACGGTCTGACCGGCCTGGCGCCCAGTCTGACCGGACAAGCCGACTTAATTTTCGCTGTCGCTCACGTCCTCAAAAATATGACCATCCTCTCCCTGAACTTGTGACAATATTCCTGCAATTTCTGGTCTAGTACCTGGACTACCCTCATCGAAAGTGATTTCACATATCTCAACAATTTTATTAGTTTCTAAAATAAGTACACGATAGCCACGAGAATATGCAGGATATCAAAGAAATATTCCATCGGTAGAACGTGCCTCAAATTTATCCAAGTTTCTAGGTTTCAAGACAAAGCACTTGTAACCAAACACACTAATGTGAAACTTTGGCTTGATGTCCAAATCGAAGCTCATATTAAGTCTTTCCAAGTTTAGGTCTCAAGAAAATACGATTGGAAATATAACATGCAGTTTTAACAGTTTGAGCCTAAAATTTTCTAGGTGTGTGATATTCATCTAACATAGTCCTAGCCATATCACCAAAAAACATTTTTTTTTCAACAACATTGTTTTGTTGAGGAACACAGGGAGAAGAATATTGATGTTCAAGGCCTTTTCATTGCAAAATTGTTCGAAAGAAGCATTTTTAAATTCACCATTATTATCACTTCGAATTGTTTTCAAAGAACCATGAAGTTCAAGATCCAAACAAAGATACAAAGTCTGAAAGTGTTCAAAAGCCTAATCCTTAGTTACCATGAAGAAAACACAATAATTTCTAGAAAAATCGTCAACAATAACCAACACATACCACCTTCCTCCAACATATTGCACTCTAGCTGGACCAATAGTGTCCATATGTAAAATCTGTCCAAGTACATCCGTCACCACAGAAATAATAGGAGCATGTGAAGAAGTAACCATGTTAGCATGACGACACGATGAACAAACCAAATCAAGATTTTTTGTTAAGTTAAGGCAAACCACTAATCCCAGTAAAATGATCAAAACCAACATGTCGAAGCCTACGATGCCGAAACATCAAATCTCTAGTAAATTTAGCAACCAAACATGTGACCTCAAATGATACAGGATCTTCAAAATCAACTTTAAAAACTCATCCATAGCGAGAAATACCCAATATTAGGGATAGCAATTTTACCCACGGGTCTGGGTATCCACGGATACCTAACCCGATGGGCATGAGCGTGGATGTAACTTTTTACCTGT